TTCATTATTGTTTTATATTTAAAAGTTTTTATCTATTTATTACTATTTAAAATACATAAACATACTTGTTATTTTTTATTCTTTACCATTTAAATACATGAAAATAATGAAAATGTAGAATATTTTCATTTCTTTTTAAAATCGCGAAAAAAAATTTTAAGTACGTGAAAAAATGCTACATCTATAATCATTTCCTATTTTGGGTCAAAATCATGCAAGCTGAAATGTGTGACAGTTACGCCGATAAGTTCTGTATTAGGAATGGTTAGGTGTTAAATCAATCTTCATCAGCCACATATTTTTGTGTAACTTTTATCTTAGAAATTTTTACATTGGCCTACATGATTTTGACCCAAAATAGAAATATTATCAAGATGATCATTTCCCTATTTGGGTCGTAATCGGAAATTCAAGATGATCATTTCCCTATTTTGGGTCGTAATCGGAAATGATTATTAGTGTAGTATTTTACATGTTTCTAACTATTCTATTTCACAGTTTTTCACATTCTTTCTTTCATACTCCAAAATAACAATAACCAACAAATTCTTTTTTTCAAAATGTCGTCCACCAACAAATATTTCAAAGGAATACTTCAAAATGACAATAACCAACTGCCTCTATATTTTACGGGCTTTCCTGTCCTGGCTCTCAAAATTAAAATCCTTATTACCAACGGAAACACTGTCCTTACAACAAATATTACCAACGGAAAACACTGTTCTTACTTCAAAAATGATAATAACCAACAAATATTACCAACGGAAACCACTGTTCTTGCTTCAAAAATGACAATAACCAACAAATATTACCAACGGAAAACAATACAACTCAGTTGTAATCTAGCACATTTTTTTGATACTACATTTTTTGACTTTTGTGTAACATGAGAAATTTTTAACGTGAAATTTTTTCGTTGAAAGCTTTCATAAACTACTTAACTGTAAATACAAACTAGCAATATTTCCTCACGTTTAATAAGACTAATGGAAGAAAAACTTCAATGCGAGCTTTCTATTTCCAATCTTAGATAATGTGACGATGACATAGATATATATATGGTACGTTGTAGGTCACATTTCAATTTCGAATTTTAACAAACTCTCACATTCAATAAATCTAATGGAGAAACTTCGTGCGTCTGATATTAGCTGGAAATGATTTTAAAGAAAAATTTCTAAGCGTCTATTTCAAATCTTAGGTAATGTGATGATGACATGGATATATACGGTACGTGTAGGTCACAAAGACAAATTTCAATTTCGGGAAATGAACTTTAAAGAAAATTTTCCAGGTTTAGTTTTATTAAAATATTAGCCAACATCTTACTGCATATTCTTTAGGACCAACAATGCATGTGAAATTTGGATTTGATTGGCTAATTTTGAGAGCATCAAAATCAGCCCCTTTGTGTAACAACAAGAAGACCATTTCATCGTGAAGATTTCACCAAACTGTAAACACAAACAAGCTATATTCCTCATGTTCAATAAAAATTTCATGTTTCCGATATTAACTGGGAAATGATTTTGAAAGAAAATTTTCTAAGCGTCTATTTCAAACCTTAGATGATCTTGTGCGGTACGTTGTAATCACAAAGACTCAAATCTCAATTTTAATCGGACATTGACGAAAATTTAAAATTTTTAACACAAACTTTCACATTCTTTAAAGCTAATGGAGAAACTTCATGCGTCTGATATTAGCTGGGAAATGAATTTTAAAGACAAATTTCCAGGTTAGTATTTATTAAAATGTTAGCCAATATCTTTATGCATAATCTTTGTGTAACAAAAATGTGAAGAAAATTGGGAAACAAAATGGTTAAATATCGATGCAACGTTGTTGTCACAAGACTTATTTTTCAATTTCATCGTAAACTGACAAAAATTTAACGTATAATTTCCTTCAAAGTTTTCACAAAACTACATAACGGAACATAAACAAGCAAAACTCACGTTCAATAAGGCTAATGGAGAAACCTCATGCGTCCGATATTAGCTGGGTAATGCTTTTTAATGGATACCATGAATCTAATTACGAATTGCAAGGTTCAGTTTTTATATTTAATCAACAATCAAGGCCAAATGTTTAAAAATTTATTAGCATCTTAACAGATAAATTATTTTGGTTATATAACGTAGATTTAAATACCGATATTCCGAACCGCGAATTTCCAGGTTTTTATTTTAATACTTAAACAACGCCTTTTTCAAATGCTAGCATGATCAATAAGTTAGTAAAATTGATGAGGCGGTATTATATTTCGTCAACGTCTTGGTTCGGATGTTTAAATTATTATATAAAATATTAACATCATCTTTTTAACCAAAAAAAAAAATTTAAAAAATAAAAATAATAATAATGTAACTTAGAGTCTCCTCGACAAAATATGTCCCAAACGGAAGTCAAATGTAACCAGATTAATGATAAGTCTGAATCAATTGATATTTTCAAGCGTGAAATTGAGGAAGTTGATAAAACACATCGTAAAGCTAAAAGAAAGGTAAAAACAAAAAATTCATCGCTGCATTTTTTTTTTTATGTAATTTAATAAATTAATATTAATAATATAATTTTTCAGGTAAAGCTTTCTATTTTTAAGAGAAATAAGTTTCTTTGTCAACATCCTGGCTGTTTGAAAAATTTTCGGGATAATCATCAATTAAAAATTCATGAAAGAAAACACACTGGTGAAAAACCGCATATTTGTGATTATCTGGGATGCGGCAGAGGATTTTCTCAAAAAAATAATTTAATAGTACATCGAAAAGGACATGAAGGCAAAAAACCTTACGAATGCAAAGAGTGTGGAAAAAAGTTTGCGCAAAGAATTCATTTGAATGAACATGGGAAAAAACATAACGGAAAAAGGCCCTTTTATTGCAAAATTTGTGATCAAAAGTTCAAACAAAAAATTCATTTGAAGAAACATTTGACGACCAGAAAACATTTACGGGCAAATAGGACATTTGAAGGTTCATTAGAGATCACGGTTAATGATATTTGAAAGAAGAATAATAAGCCCAAGATGATTCAGGTATAATTTTATTGTTTGAAACATTAAGTATGATCAATATGATTAGCATTAAATAATCTTTTTTATTATATATATATTTATATACTGTATATACAGTAGATGGTCATCCTGTATTAATATACTAGAGAACGGGGACTGTTGTTAAGTCCGGAACTTTATCGGCCAATCAGCATCGACTCAATTATTGAGCGGGCGGATAACGGGACACCTCGTGTAGCTTTAGACCTGTACATATATAGTCCTTCACTTCGTTCCGGACTAATTAATTAATTTAATTATTGTCAAATATGATTAATAAGATTAAACATACTTTTATGAACTATTATAGAAATAGCAAAGTTTAACTTTAATTTTTTTTTTCATTCTACATGTATGCCTACTTTCATTTTAATTCTTGTATTTATATTAGATATAGTACTGTACATTTAGAATAGAAATAAAATGTATAATGTTTTTTCTAAATTTAAATTTATAAATCTATATATTTTTCCTTTTAATGTGAAATCTAAATTATAAGAAGAATGGTTTTAATTGATAATCGTGTTATGTTCACGGTTACATTCAATCTTGATAAAATCAATGACGGTAGTTAATTTTTTATGTTTGTTCCAGTCAATTGGACCGTTAGCCCATTGGGCAGTACCAGGTGCACCACTACCATCCCAAATACCAAATTGTACATGACTTGGACTATTTGGAAATTGGAATCGACCGTCTTTAAATGTATCAGATTTTTTCAACGTTCGAACAAGTTTACCATCAATTGACCACTTGATGAATTCTGGTTGCCAATCAATGGTATAAGTATGAAAACCATCAGTGAAAGCGGGGGAAACGGGATGAATTCCACCATGGACCCCATATTCAATAATTCCATCAAAGTAATAATTTGATTGAACGTTCTTGGTGTCTTTACCAACCATTTCCCAATCGATTTCATCCCCATTATCTGACATCGTCTATCAAAAAAAAAAAAAAAAAATGATTTAATTTTTAATTTTTTTATTTTTTTATTTTTTTTTTAATAAAAAAGTTTAATAACTTACAATGAAAGCGGTAACGCAACCACCAACTCCATTAATCTTCATTCTTGCAGTAATTTTTCCGAAATGCATTTTACGAGTAGAATTTAAACTAACTCCCGCACCTAAATTTTTATTAAATGGACCATCAGGACTCTTTTGACGATTCATATTTGCTGGTTTAAGGAGGCTAGCGAAAAGTTGACCATTCTTTACTTCATAAGAATTTCGACTTCCACTAAGATTGATCCAATTGGCAGAAGAAGGATTCTTATTATATTTGTTAAATTCTACGATCCGGTTAGTATTAAAATCATCCGTAAATGATCGACAAACATTTTTTCCCTTTGACGGGGCAGCCGATACACCATTGAGCAATAATACTGCGACTAAACAAGCTAAGGATTTTTTTATGAAATTTACCATTTTTCGAGAGATTTTGAAATAAATATGGGGGAGGGGAGGGGAGGTAATGTTTGTTTAATGAAGGAAGGTAAGAGGTAAAAATTCGAGAGAAAGAAAAGTGTGAGAGAAGTGATCTGACCTTTGGAAAAGCGATTTCTAACGAAATATTTATAACATTTTTTAGTATGCTGAAATTTTTTTTTTTTTCGTTTTAATGTTTTCCCGGGATGCGCTATACATTCATGCATCAAGTCAAAACCACCGAAAACGTACTTTCTTATTGTTGTGGCCAATCGAGGAAATATTTAATATTAAAACCCAAATTCATGTAATAAGAATGATTTTCCGTACTTGCGTCAAATCACCGGATCGTTAGCCATGTAAACACGCATGTAATCGGTTGGTAAATCGAATAAAATTCAATATCACACTATATTCGTTAAAAAATAAACGAATGCACTTTGTCAAGAAATTGGAAGTAAATAAACATTTCACAAGACGTCGCAATAGGAATGATGTTTTGTTCCAACGATGTATGATATATATGTCTCTTTGCGTATTGCATGGATGAATAACGTTGGCGGGAGAAATATATATTTTTTTTTTTTTTTTTGCAAAAAATAAAAATAAACATTTTTGTTTTTTGCGAATCCGCAGCCAATTTTGGAAAAAAAAAAATTTGTGCAGTAACCTTCATTCAGTCAATGGCTTGGACTAAATTGGAATGGTCTCATTTTGGCTTGGTTAAAATAACAGGTATTTTCTCAAAATATAAATCCGAAAACGGTGCCGTCTCCAAGGAAAATTACTTTTCAAATGTATAAAATTTTTTCGTCCATATCCTTTTTTCCTCGATATACCAAGCATGAAAAAATCCTCATAATAGCATGTATCATTCATTCAAGTTTATATTTTATCGTCGGTATCATTAATATGATACATTTGTTAAGATATGATGATACAATAGCTATTTATATTTTAATTCCTTTACTTGTATTGATTCCAATTTGTTCTTCGATTATTATTGTAAGTGCCAAAGCCCATGATTTTATTTTTGATTTTGTTATAATAAAAAAGTTTTTTTTTTTTTTTTTTTTTAAAAATATATATATATATATATATATATATATATAGATATGGGAAAGATCAGTCTTGCACGGAATTGTTCACATAGTGATGAATATACTATTATTTATACCATATGTTATTTTTGCTAAATATTGTAGTAAAAATGAGCATTATTGTTATATTCTTGGTTATAATAAAGATTATTTGTTTGGGTCGATTCTTCAAGGCACATTTGTTATAATTTATTGTATTTTAATTTATTTACTTTGGCATTACAAGTAAGTGAATTTTTAATAGTTTTTTTTGAAAACTTTTTTTGAAATCTTACCTTTTTTTGGGGGCTAGAATTTGGACTACGACGAGAGACATGAAAATTACAAAAAAGCAAAATATTAATAGTAAGCATACCAAGAAAAATCTTTTTAAAGTTATCAAATTTTATTAGAAATGTATAAAGTTTATCAATATCAAATGGTTTTAATGCATGCAATTTTCATAATTGTTGGAGGTTGGGCTTACTTTACGTGGTTAAAAGAAGTAACCTTGTTTAATTATAATGCAAAATCATTTGGAATAGAAAAAAAATACTCGGTTTGGCCCGTATACATTCCCGATCAAATAATATATTTGCTTTCACTGGGATTCATACTTAGAGCAGTAAGTATGCAATCAGTATATGGGATCATGTGAGATGATACATTATCCTAACTCGAGTTCATTTTAACTTTTAAATAGATAAGAGAAGAATTAAGTTGGATGATGAATATTTTATTACTAATTAACATTTTGGAAATTGGAAGTATTTTATATAGGTTAATCGTATGGTGCCCTGACGATTTATTGAATTCCAATGAATTTGGTAGATGCAAATTTAAAAATAGAATTAAATATGTCACTGATTATACGATCATATTCATAGTCGGTATCTTTTGTCTGTTACTTACTATTTCACATTTCTTAACCCTTTTGATCTGTTATAAGAATTTTGGGAATAATTTTGGATTTTATTGTAAGTATTTAATTTTCCCTCTTGAAAAATAAAAAAAAATCTCATTATCATTCTTTATCATTTGAAAAAAGTGATGTATGTTGAAATTCCACCTGAATATAATTATAATGACGATATTCCAAGAAGAAGAAAAGGCGTTATTGGACGCGTATAATTTATATTCGCAGTTTACAATGATAATCCTATGTAAAATACTTCTGATTTTTTTTTCTCCAGCCTGAGGCAGATCGCAATTTCAATTAGCTGATCGTTTGGATTTCAATTTCAGATACCCGAAAGGCAATCCCAATTTCAGGCGAAAATCTTTCAATGGCGCCCTTAAACAATTTTATACATAATGAATAATCGAAAAACTTTTGTCAACACGCAAACTGTGACGTTAACTTTCTGCTTTCAATTGTGATTAGTTTCACCATATAAGGATTTTTTGATTTTAATCATGAAAGTTATGGTAAAGAAAATTATAAAATGAGATTATAACATACATGATGTACAAGATATTTGTATAGATCCCTAATAACAAAAACAAATTATTTTTTTTTATTTTTTTTTTTTTTTTGATTCAAATTTTTTTTAAAAAAAAACTTGGGCTTATGAAATATACATATATACATTACATTTTATTTTTAATAAAATCTCGGGGTACCCACAATCAGAATAATAATAATACGATGGTCGAAATTGTTGCTGTCTTTATTTATTTTTTTTTTTTTTTTTTTTTTTTTTTTTTTTTTTTTTAAAAAAAAAAAATTTTTTTTTTTTTTGTGTTTTTTTTTTTTATTTTTTTTTTTATTTTTTTTTTTTTTGATACAGG